CCCTACCAGGACATTGTTCTTCCCATTCAGCCTGAAGACAGGACAGAGCAACCAGCTCTTGGCAACCCTACCTACAAGTCATGGCAGCCTAGTGAAACCCAAAGCAAGTAACATGAGCTATAGACCTGATCCATCTAAACTGCATGTTTTTGCTAAAATTTCTGCAGTTGACCGTGTGATTACACCCCCTAAACTCTCCTGCCGTTTTGAAAGCCCTGAAAATATTGATGTCGCGGAACCGAAGAGCATGTCCTTCAACCTTCCTGCATTTGGAAAAGGACCCATATTAGGAGAGAACATGTTGCTACCTGTGATGTGAGAGGAGCTGGCATCCTTGCTCTCTCGGTGGGTAGTACGTGCAATTGCTTCATCCATCTCCTGCTCAGAAACCTGAAGTCAAGTGGAAGACAGAGATCAAAATGGGTAGATGAAAGGAAAATGAAAGTCTGACCACTTATCACTACAAACACATGTTTAATTTCAGATATGCTACCATTTTTAAAGATGCAGTAAAGAAGACCTAGTTGAGAGCTCCTAAGTCCTGGTCTCCTAATTCAGATTCCCTCCATGCCACTCTCCTGCAGAAACCAGGAGGCAGAAGCCTACTGACTTAATGAAGACCACATCCAAGTGCTACATTGCACAAACATAAAAACAGCACCAGACTTAAAGAAATCAAATGAAGCCATTACACCACAATTTTAACTCAATTAAGTGCTGTACATTGATTTATCGTGAAAATATTACCTTAAAATAGACAAAGACTGCTTTGTACAAGCATACATCAGCAACAGAAGATATTCTACACTTAACCTACCGGAAGAATACCAGACTTCCCGAGATATTAGCTGTCTTTCCAATTTTCATTTCTTGCTTTTAAAAAGAAAACCTAAATCAGTAATTGGTAATTGATGTTTCTCTGGTTTAAGAATAAATACTGGTTTACCATATTTGCTAATTTTGTCCTGAATTACCGCCATGCACTTAATTCTTATTACTGGAAAACTCCACATAATTTTATAACAGGAGCAACTAATCTACAGGAGTATATATTTAAAAACAGAAAGCAAGTTAATGCTGTCAAAAATAATTTCTATACACATTGCTTTACATGAATTAAAATTCAACGTAAATAGAGACTAGAAACTTGAATCTTTCTGAACCATGAAGATTTGAAAGATTCCTAAGCAAACTCAGCAGTTTAAACATAGTTTAAATGCCACATTCACTCAGAATAACAAGAAGAAAGAAAATTTTGTGGTATTTCTCTTGGAAGTACATGAAAACACCAAAGTGAACATATTCAGCAACAAAATGTACTGTGGACCTTTTGTATCATAAAATGAGGCACCAAGTATAAAAATGTCCAAAACAACATGAGCCTTTGTAGAAATACATCTCTGGTTTCAGCCTGTGGCATGACCTTACAGCAAACCAAAAGCCTCTGTGTTCCTGGGGCATAGGGAGTTCCTCCAGGACCTGGACCAAGCCCTGAAGAGTATGCTCCAGGACCTTTACACAAACCTTTGGGTACAAGATGTCCCAGGAGTAAAACTAGGTGCTGGGCAGACTGCAGTATTTGTTTAAAGCTAACAAAAAATCCACACTTCTGCAAGCTCTGCCAATTTTGATTTTCAGCATCCTCTACGCCTCAGGCAGATCAAACTGGAGAGGAACAAGCTAATTCTTAACTACAATCTCCAGGCTGGGTTATTATTAAGAGAAAATAAAATAAAATAGAATAAAAGAAAATAATATCTTCCCCGGCCCCCCCCATAGATCCCCCAGTGCTGTCAGAAAAAGGGTGACAGTGAAATAACTATAAATATAGATCCCCATATGGACACTCTTCAGCGATCCAACTATGAGGGACTGTGGATTCAATACTGCCTTGGGGGGGAAAATGCTTTAGGGTCTCTCCAGCTCAATTTTTAGCTTTTCTTAGCGTTTCTTGGCAAAGGATTTGTTGTCATTTTAAATATCACTTATGGAAAACTGTAATAGGAGCCACTTAATAGTTTCCCTCTGTTACTGAGAAATATCAAGCAATTAGCTTAACTCAGTTCATCTTCTCAGCAGATACTTGGTTAGGTCACTCGTCGGCTTTTAAGCCACCAGCACAGCAAGCTGAAGGACAGAGGAGAGAGGGCAGGCTCCACCCCATGGAGTTTTTATTTCATGCTACTTACAGATTCTCCAAAAAGTCTATCTGCCTTAATAATGCAATCACGTTGAACCATCCTGCTGGTTCTGCACAGTACACAGACTCCCTAGAAATACTGTTATCTTAGGCTATAAGCCCAATTCTTACCCTCTCCAAGCCTACCTTTAACTAGGGGAACCACAGCCTCTTTCTTTTTAGCAGCACAAGGCCTCACAGCAATAATAAACTCTTGGCAGTAGACCCCTATTTGCTTATTGTTTGTATATTTGATTTAGCAAAAAATACGCAATTAATTATAAAATAAAAAAACCTCAGTTCTCCTAGATATGGATTTATTAAGGCCTCCATTTGTAGTTATGAGTTCAAAAGTCAGAGCTCTCTGGACCCACTAATGCAAATATTTTTACAGCTTCATTCCTGTTTAAACAGGAAGGTTTTGTACACTCATGAAATTCTTTGAAATATTGAAATAAAAGAAGTTGTTATTCCCTATAGCTTGGTTAAAAGGCTTTTATCTTCCATCACCAATTTTTAAAAATTGCTTGAAAATACTCTCTTTGTAAACACAGCCTTATTTCCAAATCGCCCTTGCACAGATTTCACAGTAGCAGAACGTTCCAGATTCTCACGTTTTAATTCCTGAAGGAATCTTTGATCTTTGGGCAGATTGTACTTTTTTAAAAACAGTATTCCTATTACTGTATTATAGTTGATCAGTTCAATCTCTTGATATTTATATTCCTGGCCCTAAACTATATTCTATTCAAAGACAAGCTAACTGCAAAATAACTTTAAGGAGGAAGAGGACTTGTGCTGTATTTGTCTTGCCACTTGGTCCAAGTACCAAGAAAGACAGGAACATTTCACTCAAGTAGTTCCAGGAAAATTGCATTTGATCAGTGGGTGACTAAGTGAAAAGCAGCAGGGACAGTCCAGCATTGCTACAACTTACAAAACTGGAAGGCATCATTACAGTCCTGATTTCTTGCACAACACATGCCATACAGAGAAAAATCCAATGTTCTTCGTTTGCTGCTTTCCTGACAGCAAGACTCAAATCACAGCTTCAGATGAAAACACCCCTGACACAGTAACACATTTTCTGCTCACCTTTGGGTTAGGATGCCGACTAATGATAAGGCTGACCGGACCTGGACCACATTCGCTCAGGATGGCGTAGGCTTCACTTAAAGCCGCGTGACGCAGACTCACCGAATCTGCCTCCAGGATCTGGTCACCCCGGCTGCAGAGAGACACAGAGCCAGTTAATCACAACTGCCTTTTACAGAAACATTTGTGCTTTCAACTGATGGCCAAGCTTTTTCAAAGATACAAACGTCTGGAAAAGATCTGATTTGCAAAGAAGCCAGTCTTGCTCTTGCTCCCAGTGACGTGAATGCTTTAAGTCCTGTTGACTTCAGGAGGGAGGTCCAGAGATCCCCTCTGCACTTACCGTCAGTGCTACAAATCCTATTAAATCAACAGAGAAAATTGGCTGCATTTGGACCAGAGTGAAAGCAAACTTCAATTCCAGTTCTGCATTCATGTACTTGTTGAGCACAGAAGAGGAAAAATTAGATTCAGATGGGCTGTTCCTTCCCATCATACTGAATTACTTAACACAAACACTGATAAGAAATTCACGATTTAGATACAAGTTTATGAAATTACTCCAGGAAAAAATTGACTGCGATAAACCTGTATTTGCTTCAAATTAACACGTAGAACCCATTAAAAAGAAAAAGAAAAAAAAAGACCCTCTTTGAGAGGAAAGCTTAGGCTGTTTAGTTTTGTTTTCCCAGTTTCTTAACTCTTGCTCATGGTGCTCAGACATCTGGAAGTATTCAAAAGAAAAGACCATCAACTAGGGATATCATTAAAGCATTCTCCGTATTTACTAAAGCATTTGCTTTAAATAGACACTCTCAAACAATCTACTACTGCTGATTTACATTGGGCTACTTGTGACAATGGAAATGAGTTTGCACTCTGAGTCCACACGCCAAAGGCAAAGTGCCAATTGCACGCGGCAGCCTTCAGTAACCTGTACTGGTGGTACTGGCTCATGAAAGCAAAGGGTGATCTGTCACAGCTGTGTAATCATGCCACCGCTCTGCCCGCCTTTTAGATTTACACAGCTATCAGAAACGACCCAAATGGAGTCACTTGCGCAGGCACATGATTGAGAGGGGGAACTCAGATACGGAGGAGCTGGATTCAAACCCCTTCTGGTGTTGCAAAGCCAGTATTTGATTAACAAAGTTTTCCAAAAATTAAAACCATCCTGTAAGTTTTGGCTTATGGAGCCATAAACCACTGACTGGACAACAGAAGCAATGTCTCAAAGAAGCAAGCTAGAAATCTGGGAAGCATGCCTGGATATAATCAATCACTTAAACCTAATAAACGATACAGCTGTTACATACAAACGTAACCAGCACTGCAATCTTTTCCAAAGAGGCTTACAAGAAAGCAAGTTAGCATTCAATACTGCCTCCTGTAGACATTTCTATATGGTAGGAACTTTCAAGGGTTTTGGCAGGGCTGCCACCATAAAATTATCTTCTTCCCTTGCTCCAAAAATTCAAATTGCTCTATCAGTTTTCCCGGTGAGCAAGGAAACAGAAGGCGCTCTCTCCCCATGTGAAAGCAAGGCATTTGCTCAGCCTCTCTGCACCAGTGCTCATGCCACACACTCAGTGCGGATCACGCAGTCCCAGCAGGTCTTCAGCACAGCCTCCCCTCCCGAGCGATGCTCCCAGTGCCCACCAGCATTTATGCAGGAACACAGAAAGGTGGAAGACTTCCTCCAATGGTTTTTAAAAACGAAGCCTCCAGGAGAGGACCAGCAAATAACTTTCTGTCACTTAATCCAATGTAAAGCACAAGGGAACCCTAAGAATGATTGCTTCTCTCTCTTACGGTTCCTTAAAGACATCCAAACTCCATGACAGAGTAAATGAGATGGGCAGGTCAGCCTGCAGCGATCCTGCCAGACAGACAGCAAGGGCAGAAAAGCCCTGCTGCAGCCATGGGCACAGTCAGCTGCAAGAACATCTCCCCCAGCTCTTTAAAGTTTCCAGGTGACTGAGCTTTTAGCAGAGCTCTGCAAATTTCCTCCCAATCTGGGGTCTCTGGCTGCAACTCTGATAAAAAGACATGAGGCTGCACTTCTTCCTGCTCCCCTTTCTCAAAGTGTGCTATTAGGCTCAGTTTTCTGTATAGAGAATTAAAAAAAAAAAGAAAAAAAAAAAAAAAAAAACCCAACCAACCCAAACCTTAATGATCATGCTGCTTCCAGCACACAGAATAATGTTTCCTGGGTATTTAATACCACTTTGGAATGTCCTTATTTAAATGTTTTCTTTTTGGTGAACTCTTAATTATAAATCCCCTCCCTGCTACACCAACCAACTGGTGAAAACAAAGTCTGAATCGATTTTATTATAATACCACTCCAGCATGTTTCTACATTAACTAACCTTAATCTGCCATCCATTTTAGCCACGGATCCTGGGGCCAGGCTGTGAATGTATATCCCTGGAGAACTGTTTTCCAGCGTGAGACAACAGGCACCGATGCCGAGCCCAACCCCTGGCTCTGTGAAAAACAAAAAGTACAAAGAAAAGTACTGTTATTCCACACAGATTGTAATCACACAGGACACGCAAGTGTTTGTGTTCCCACATCCCATCTGAGACCAAGACTCCTGTATTGTTTCAAGGCTGGCCTTAGGTGCAGTCAGTCAGGAAGCCAAGACCAACAGTGGAAATTAGGATTGAAATATCTGATCCTGACTGTTTTCTGAGATCCATCACTAGGCGGACTAGCTCCACTCCCAGCGAATTTTCTGTGCGTCGTGGGAACTGCCTGGCAATGTCGCACAAGGTCCGATCTGGTCCGAAGCACAAAGCAGTGGGGGCAGCAATCCAATAAAGATGCCACTTGAAATTATTGCAAAAAACGTGAGCACAGAAGATGGTGTCAACTGCGCTGCTCTCTTTTGTTAAATACCTGCATGGCAGCCCTCTGAAAAGAGGAACGAAGAAAGGTGAGGCGTTATCTCTAGCTCAGTGATTACCTCTGTCCGCTTTCACTTCTGCTATCATGAGATAACAGCACTCCTGAAGTCGGAATTGCTGGACATCTTACCTTCTCTCTCCTAATTTTTAAGCCAACCTTTAAAATCAGCTTATTTAAAGCCTTTAAAATAGGCGTATTTGTCCCACCCCATATATCATAGGCAATAAGTTTACCTTGTGCAATTACTGATAATGACAGCAACCCTCAGGAAGGAGCCCAAACAGCTCATGTGGGGAATTTCGAGCACTCTGCTTGGTTTTGCCTTCCCCAGAGCTGCCCTTTACGAAAAGGGCATGGCTGTTTGGGCTGCACAGAGGCTGATTCACATTTTGCCTGGTATCTCACAGACTCCCTCTTTCAGCAGCACAGGCACCGACTGCTACCTGTAAGAGTGTCCCAACTCTGCAGCAGCAAAATGTGGAAGGGGGAACTCTTCAAAAGTTTTTGCATTAGCGGATGTTTTTCTCCCCCATCCTGTGGTTCAAGATCAGATGGATGCAGGTAGGTGCCCTCGATATGAGAGCCTCTATCCTATTCCCAAAAACTCCCTTAAGAAGCACAGATTCATTCTCCAAGACCATTTCAACGGACATTCACCTTCTGGAGGAGGAACCGTCTGCCTCGTCAGGGCCGGGGACCGGCGTGCCACCGCTGGCACTGGAGCTGGGGGAGCTGGAGCGGCTCAGCAAGGTGGGAGTCGCGCAGGGCGTGAGGCTTGGGCTGCGTAACCGCGTGCGCACCGTCAGGGTCACCACTCCTTTCTTGAGTTGCTGGAGAGACATCAGAGAACCCCAATAAGGTGACTTGATATGCCACCATTTCCCAGTAAACCTGCATACACTAATTTGTGGCAGCAAAATAATATGAAGTCCAGGGTGCTAAATGGCACGGAACAAAGAGAAGCATGAATGTCTCCTGTAGTACGTCTATGTTACCTTAAACCTCTGAATGGCCTCTTGATGGGTCAGCCCTTGCAGTGACTCCCCATTAACTTCTAGGATTTCGTCGCCTGGTAATTAGATACAAAAAATGAAGTCAGCAATATACAGACTATAGAGATGTAAAAAACCCTTCCTGTACATAAGGAGACCTGCTACTATAAAGATTCCAATTAACTGCTTGGTAAAAAGCCTTTTACTGTTCTCAGTTTATTTTCACTTTTCCTAATGCCTTTACAAGTTAATAGTGATGAATCAGCAGAGTAAAGACTGTTCTTCAGCAGAGATCCTCAGCCTGGCATTCTCATGCTAACAAACAAGCTGAAAACACTACAGATTTTAACTAAAGTCTGAAAATAGATGCCCATAACATGAAGTCCAAAGGGACTACAAAACTCCCTTTCTTTTGTGTGTATCAACAGTAGAAACAAGAATCTAAGTAAAACACTACAGCACATAACTCCAAAGCCTGTTCAGAGAAAACTGGTCTTGCTGCAGAAAGCAAACATGTCCTCTGACTAAATGCCTGCAGATGTAGAAGTGAGTAGCCCACACACTGCAAATGTGTGATAGCAAATTCCCTTCTCACTGCAAAGAACATATTCTGTCACATTTCTACCTGCTTCCAGGCTTTGGGTCTTACTACTTAAACCCAGCTGTGCTGGATCTACCTTCATTTTATTAAAAGGAGGGCAAAGCCAGCAGGATCCAGATCCACTTTCTGCAATCTTACTTGCATCTGTGCAAAATTAGATGGGGCGATGCCATCAGCCGACTCTACCCCTCCGCTCCTTACTTTGCCCCAGTTAATAAAAAAAAAAAAAGAGCATGTGAGCTCTGAATAGCCTGAAAAGGCTCTCTGGGTTTATGGGACAGCTGCTACTTATTGGCTTCCCATGGTGAGTGCACAACCTATGCTGCAGGGACACAAGCTTCCCTCTGGCAGCAAGTGTGAGAGTTGGCACCAAAAGCAGCCTTAAATACAACAAGTGTGATGAGATGTAACAAGGGGAATGACGATATGAGAAGGAGAGAAGTAACACAGGAGCAGCTTGAGAGAAGTAACACAGGAGCAGCTTTCTGCGGATGAGAAGTAACCCAGCCCCTGTGGAAGAGTTGTAAACCACTGCGCTGAACTCACGGTCATTTTGCACTCTCAGCAGTGTGTAAGGGTCTGTCTGGTGCAGAAGCACTCAGACCAGGGTGCAAACACACACAGAGCAGCCTATATGTCCAGCTCAGAGATCAAGATTGGAAAAGCAGTAACAAAATCAGGATATATCTACTTCTTTAACCAGCTGGGTGACCTTACTGCCTATCCTATCCTATCCTTTCCTTTCTCTTTTTCTGGTCATGATTCTTACTTGTTGATTCATGTCAAAATCACACCAAAAGGCTAACAGAGCACAGGGGCCCAAAACAGCCTCTCCCAAGCACGTCCTTCTGTCTAACCCCTTCTTGGACCAGCATCTTTAAGTCAGATGTTGGTTGGATAGATACGTTCATCACTATCCATGACCCTCTCCAACTGAATAACTGCAGCTTATGGCTTGAGCAAATGAAGTTCACTGAAGAGGAAGGGAAAAAAAAAAAAAAAACCCACATCGTGCTGTAGTTCCCCCTTCTCAACATGCAACATAATCAAGTTAACTGCTATGAGTGATCTTCCCCAGGATGGACAAACAGGGTGTGTTACATCCTCCACAGCCTCTTGCTGATGGCCAGGTGCCTAAATAAAGCTGTACTTTAATTTTTCTGCTGGACTGAAATAATATCCCACTGTGGTTCTTTATTTGCAGTTGGATTCTGTCTACCATACCTTCTTTAAGCCTTCCGTCAGCAGCCGCTGCTCCATTTGGGAATATAGTCTTCACGAAAATCCCCATGCGTCCGCGAGCAGAATCCTGACCTCCCACAATGCTGAATCCAAGACCCTACAGAAAAGGGAGGAGAAGACACACAGCTGGCACCTTTATTCTCACCTGTGTGAGAAAGACTGCCAAAAACATACAAGATAAAGGAAAGATCAAAACCTAATAGCTGCTGATGAATAGCACTGCCATCTTACCTCTGCTTGCATCTCCTGATTTACTTTCACACTAATATCAACACACTTATCAGCCCCAAAAGCAGCAGCAAGCACCGTAAGCTAAAAGGCAAAAATGCTTTTTCAAGATTTTTTTTTTTTTCAAACACCAGGTCAATGGCTTTATGTTATCCCATTCCCATTTTAAAAACTGTAACACATTGCTTTTAAATTGACTGACAGTAGATTCCCACCCCTGAGATCTATACCCAGGATTAACTGTAGTTTTCTCTGCTGTCGCAGATCCTGCATTTCCTCAGGAAAAAGAAAAGCTTAAGAACATGACATAAGGTCAGTGCTGTAATGTCAGGAATTTAGCTGGAAGGGGGCTGGTGTGGGGGGGGCTGCCATGCACATGTACACTTTTAATTATTCTGGAGACATGTACCACGTTGTATTTAAATAAATCTAGATCAATACACTCCCCGGGGCTCCATCTGTTAGCTCTTGCCCCTGCACTGCCCCGGCTGGCTGCATGACCGTCTTGCGAAGCTGATCAGGGAACGGATGAGCACAGCAGAATGAACCTCTCCCCCTTCTGCCGAGTTATTTCCCAGCCAAATCACTTCCTCGATCCATTTCACACACACCACCATCCCCCCATATTTCCCCTCTTGTCACTGCTGTACATGTATTTTACAGAATAAAGAGAAAAGTCACTGACCAGGTGGACAAGGGAAGTGGAAAACTGCTGTGCTTCAGTGATCTGAAGCCATGGTTATTATTAGCGCCTTGGGCAGTGCTCTCCAGCTGAGGGATGCTGCCAGGGCAGGCACTACCACTGTGTTTACAACCCAATACAACAACCGGCTCATTGTTTTACTCCATGAATAGAAAGTAGACTACTGTCGTTATAAGCTTCTAGTAATTTGATGAGAGATTACTGGTTTCTAGAAAGGAAGCATCCTGGCTGCCCCGTACAACACAAAACAACACAACTAACTTTTTACTGGGCAATTATCAACTGCAAAGCAACCTATGGAAAACACGAGGCTCCTGGCGCTCTGCTGCATGGACACAGCAGTTCTCCCCATGGCTCCGTGGGGTGGTTTGGGAGAAACACAGCTGCAAAGCACAGCAGTTCCCATGTTAGCCCACCTTCCTGCAGAAGCGCTGCCACTGCCTATCAGAAAACCATCCCTTGGCAGATCTACCTACAGATGAAAAACCAAGGGCACACACTTGGTTCCCAGCCACCAACACAGAGACTCTGTTGAAATACTTTGCAAATCCGAAGTCCCCATAAGGTTAATAAAGCAAATGCTACTGTACAAATTGTAAGCAGTGCAATTCCTAACAGAAGTGATCAAACAGTGGGTGGAAGGCACCTAAACCAGCAGCTGTTTGAGGTGGTTCCCAGTCACTAGCATCTGCACGCTCCAAAATGCTTTGTAACACCTTGGAGCTAACTGCAGAAAGGCAGGAGAGGGTGGCTTATCCCACGGGGAGAAATAAACTTATTCTGATGAGAAAAATGGGGTCAAAAAAATATGTCCATTCCACTTGGAAATGTCACGAAAGACCTGAAGCTCCTGAAACAAGGAGAGTTATAGCAACTATGAGTCAATCTACCCAGAGAATTCGCTATTTCTAACTCTTTGCTAAACTTAAAGCACAACAAGGAATTTGTTTTGTATTTGAGCTTGAAAGTCAAAACAAGTCTTTTTAGTTCAAAACATATCCATCTGATGAATTTAAAGAGTATTTCAGAAAAAGACACGCATATTTTTAGCATATTTAAATGACAGCTCCAGTACTAGCATAGGTTGGATTAGGGAAAACAATATATACCTAGGTTAATGCTTGTCTATTTTCCCTTAGGAATCAGCCAGCTGGTACCTAGCAAATGCACAAATGCATTATTGTGCAGAGAAAAGAGGACTCTTTGACCCAGAGAATTCACTGCTCTCAGATAAGCAATCAGCCAGGAACCTGTCTTTGTTTAACGCTTAATTTGCACTGATTTTTTTTTTAATATATCCAGATTCCACAGGGATAAAATATGCTTGTCCATAAATATGTGTGCAAACAGGTACTCTTCCACAGCTGCACGAACTTTGCATAAACATACATATTTATAGATCCATTATTAATATTGGATATCTTAGTAATGACCAGATGCACCAAATCAGAATGAAAGCCACCCTGCATCAAGTGCATGACACGAACATCACTTCCCCTGTATTTTGCAGATGTAACTTTGACATTTACATCTGAAAATGGGATTTGTTTATCATTATTGTTATTACTGGCTACCTTGAGAACTGCTGGAAGTCCTGGGTATGGGAGACACCTCTTAAACACTAGCTCTTGCTACATGTGAAAAACCAGACATGTGCAGAAATCCTCACCTTGCCTTGCCCTTTCATCAGGACAATGTTGGAAATGATGGACGGCTGGGTCAGTCTCCATGGAGATTCCACTTGGGCAGCACTGAAGGAACGGGTGGATTTCTTCACAATATGGTAGTCCTAACAAACATCAGCAAACAAGGGAAGTTGCTCTGATTGCTTGGCACAGGCACTGGGATGTCATACCGGGATAACTGCACGTGTCGGGGCCAGGGAGGGGGTGGGGGTGGGGGGAGATCTTACAGATATGTTCAGAAAAATGTTCAAGCAATGACATCCTAGCTCATTACAGTCAAAATGAATCTTGCCACAGTAATTTTCCCGCACTTCGCACAGTAGGATCATTTTGTAATGTACCAGTCACAATTTAAATTAAAAAGATTAAGGGCAGCCTCATGATATACTGAAGTCCTTATCTAAAAAAGAAAAAGCCTACATCATCAAGTCACTAAAATAAAGAGAAGCAGGATTTTTTTGTTTAAGGCCTCAGATCTCTGGAACTGCAGCTCGTAAGATCAGCCTTAGGGCCTCTTGGCCACAGCAAGAAGTAACCTCCTTCTCCATCCTCAGAGTAAGGAAGTTCTCCATAGGTGGCCAGGCATTCCCACTTCGGTGTCCAGGCCTGATTTCAGTCCCCATGATGTACCTATGTGGCCCGGTTTCACTGCCCTTGCTTCTAGGAGCTCCAGACAGACCTCAAAGGACCGAGCACAGCGAGGTGCTGAGAGCCAGCCCTGCCTTTCCTCCCTCCTGCCTGGCTCCCGCCGACTCCAGCTGCTGGGGCAGAGAGTGCTTTCTTCCACCCCGGGAATATTTCACCGCTATTTCGTAACTTGATTCACCGTTTTCCACTGTCAGCTCATCGTCTTCTCCCACGGACTCCAAGCGGGATCCGGCACCTAGGGAAAACCACAGAAACGCATCCTGCAAACATCTCAGAGCTGCTTTATCCTCTCGCCAGAATCACCTCCTGCAAATCCCAACTTCAACAGTGCCTTAAAACAATGCTACACAGTTCCAACTGGGCATTTAGAAGCTAGTTTTGATCATCTTCAACTAGAAACTTTGCCTGCTGTCACAGGTTTTCTATGATCTTTCAGGGATGCTGAACTCCTCAGCACTGTTGCTCGTGGTAGTAAGGAAAAGCAGAGGATAATTGAGACGGTAGCTCAGGGACAGAAAAGAAATTCAGCTGTTCTTACCCAATGGCACTTGCCAGTGCACTAAGCTCTCAAGCTTCATTTATTTAAAATTAAAAGACCTGACACTGTAGCAGTATTCATTTCTGGAGGTGTCATGTCACTTTGAGGGAAATTTTTCTGGAATGGAAAAAGGAAAAATGTGCCAAATAAATGCTATTTTCTTTCCTTCTGGCAACAATCCCAGTTGTCTTAAAGAGGAGAAGAGTGCAGAGTTCATGTAAGAAACAGAATTATTTGTCTTGAAGGACATCCTGTAATTAGCCGCAGAGTACCCCGATCCTCTCACCAGGGCTCCTCCAATTCTCATTTTCTCCGAGGTCCCCACAGGACCCCCAGTCACAGCAGTTCCCGCACATTTATCCTTGCTATTTCCCCACCATGCAGGAAAGGGCTGTTAACCCCTATTTTACAGATGAAAACCCAAGACACAGGCCAAATTCATGCAAGTTGGATTTCACGATGTGGTTTTAAGATTACTTTAAACCAACATTAAGTTGGAGCTGCCACAGAAAGGGACAGCTCTGCTTTTCCTTCGTCTTCCTTGCCCTGTCCTTACCCTGCGGATGGGGCTCACAAGCCATGGGCAAATTTGCCCAGGAGAGCCCCAAACCCCTTTTCTGCTGTATTCTCACCCGGAGGCTGTGCAAGCATTGCTGCCAGCACCAGGGAGGGATGAAGGGATGGAACACAGAGCTGGGGGCAGCTGCTTTTTTTCACTCAGCATTGAAGTAATTCTGCGGCCGCATGCACAGGCAGAAGTCGTACCCACCGCCCAGAGTGACATTTAAACCCGCCCCCTGCTTTGGGGTGTGAAATTACCTCTGGTTTTAAAGCCCCCCTTCCCTGGGCACGCAGGTTGCCACTGCTGCGCACTGCCAGGACAGCTATCTTGGCATGACCCGGCATCCTGGCACTTCTTTCGCTCCCAAATCCTCCTGGCACCTACAACTAATCCTTTCCCATCACCTCTCCCTCTCTTCTTCTAGGAGAACAGTTATATTTCTGTGTTTTCTGCCCGTCTCTGAATGCAGTTCCCCTTCCCACGCTGCAGCCCAGGCTTGGGACCAGGCTGGGGGATGCTCCAGGCTCACCCACAGCCCAGGGGCATCAATGCTCATGGGATCCCCAGTGAGCCACCAACACACAGCCACAGGGGCTACGGGCGGAGGAGCTCCCTGGAGGATGCTAAAAATATCCAAGTAAATGGAAATTAAGGTGAACATAGGAGGGAGGGAGACTTGGGGAGTGTTAGAGATGAAAACATGATTGAGCTCTGCACACAGGTTACTGTTAAGAGTTGGGGACAAAGCAACAGAAAATTTGGGGAGTATTCACTGTAATGGATATTTTGGTGATGGCATGTTGAAACACACCACCCATCTCAGTATTAAAGCACACTGAAATGTACAGGGAATGTAAATGTTAAAAAAAGAGAGAGAAGAGAAAGGGAAAAAAAAAGAAAGAAGCTTCAAAAATTTTGCTTCATCTTTCTGTTCCATATAACAGTTCAACTCATGAGGCTGAATGCAAACATGTTACAGCTGGGATTTTCCTTCCAAATTAAACTAATATCATCTCCAAAGGAAAGAAAACTTATCTCACTTTTAGACAGCAAAAATAAACAGACAACATAAAAATCTTACTATTCCTATCTTTTTATCAACCCAGCTTTACCTTGGGATCGACTTCTGTATTTCAGTATGCCACTTCCCAGAGTTGGACTCTGGTTGTTTCCTTTGGACACTTCTGCACATGCTGGATCTGGAGACTTCTCAGTTTCCATCACCTGCAAAAATTAAAAAAAAAAAACAACCAAACACAACAAAACTTATTTACTTGTAAACCAGAGAGGTTGATGGAATTCCTCTCATTTTTACTAAGGGACAAAAATTACACTGCACATCATCTTTTTTTGCCAAAACATGACATTGCATTAAGCCAGCACACATTTCTGTAATTTTCAGTAATGCCTTTGGACATTATTGCAAATCTTAGCGACAGGTACATACATCTACAGCTCACTATGGCCGGGGGTTCTCTGCAGGATGCCACACTGATGCCCCCAGAGTGCCTCCAGCACCTCGTCCAGGTACTTCCACATGCATTTTAACAGAACTTTAATGTAGCTTTTATTGCAGTTTGTGCAGGTCAGCAAGCTTCCAGAGATATCACATCTTTATAGAGAAAACTACTTTAAAAAAGTGGCTTTTTATTGTTAGTGTCCAGAGCTGAATGCCAATGCATAATGGACGAAAAGCTAATTTAACAGCACGTTATGAAGATTGAACAGCTAAGCACTTAAAAGCCTGGATGTGCTCAACTTAAATTTACATGTGGACTTGCAACCCCGCCACCCTGAGTAAACGCATCGAGACAGGAGGAGTCTGTTTACCCACCGTGTTTGCTTAGATGCAGGTGACAATACAACGCAAGGCGACAATGTACAGGAGCATGGCCACACACCCCCTGCATCCTGCTCCCACATGGTCAGGGATGAGCAGAGCCGCCCATATGCAAAGCCCACAAAGAGCCTCCACAACTCATGTGTCGTGGAAGACCTCAGCGACTCCCTTCTCCACTCACTGCTTCCTTTACTGAGCTACAGCAGTCACGTTTTCCTAGATGCACCGCTGCACAGTGATTCTCCACATGCTCCCCATACGCACACTAATTCTTTTGCATTTTCGTCCCATCACCCATCATGCATCCTCCACCTGATTATTCAGACAGCTCATGGCAAGGATGACAAAGCTTCCAATACAACCACTTACTTGGTGCATTATACTTTTAATGTACTATATAAACTGCTGGAAGTCAGTTTAAATAAAAAAATCCCACCCAAACGACTAAACACTCTTACTGTTAAAATGATTTCCACTTCCACTTTTCAAGCTTAAAAATAGCAGGATTTTCCTAAGAACCTGCCTCCCATCCCCCAGTCCCTCTTATCCCCAAACCAAGAAAGCCAACGTTTATCTTTCGCACAGAGTCTAGGCTTTGTGATTTCAGTTCTGTCGTGGTTTAACCCCAGCTGGCAACTGGGACCACACAGCCACTCACTCACTCTCCCCTCAAGTAGAATAGAAAGAGGAGGCAGAAAAAGGAGAAAAAGGAGAAAAAGGAGAAAAAGCCTTGTGGGTTGAGATAAAGGCAGTTTAATAGAACAGTAACAGAAGAGGAAAAAAAAAAAAAAGAAAAGGAAAAAAAAAAAAAAGAAACCAATGGTAAAAGAGTATACAAAATAAAGTGGTGCAATACAATTGCTCTCACCACCTGATGATCGATTGCCCAGCCCATCTGGCGCAGTGATCGGATTCCTGCCCCCCAGCCAACCCCCACTGATACACTGGCCATGATGTCTGTGATATGGAACGTTCCTTTGGCCAGCTTGTCCTGTCTATGCTCCCTCTCAGCTTCTATGGGAAGCTGAAGAAGTCCTTGACTTAATATAAACATTACTTAGCAACAACTAAAACAATACGGGTTATCAACATTCCCATACTAAATCCAAAACACAGCAGCTACTAGGAAGAAAATTAACTCTGTCCCAACTGAAACCGGGACAAGTTGAAATGGTAAAAGCTTCAGGAAAAGCTAAAACCGGCAGATAACAGGAAGCTGGAAACTGATTTTATTCCTCCCCTTTCAACATGAACAGCTACACATAGTTTACACATAGTCTGCAAATCCTAGCTAGTTCTTGCTGATTTTTCAAGGCATTGCAGCAGCTACTTCAGAGTCCACTTCTAGTATCAAATGCTGTGCAGCTCACAGCTCCAAGAAATAGGATTCATCTAAAGAAGAAAGTAACTACATCAGTCTGAGAAAACCAGTGCCTACTATTTGGCCATTCTAGTGAGGGACTCATTACAGAAAAGCTGTAAGAAGTCAAATCATAAACCCCACCCAACAGACCTGCAGCCAAAGTATCACCTACTCTCCCTATGATCCCTTGAGAGCATACACAGAAGACAGCAGAATTGTTTAGAATTGAGCTGGGACTGTGTGGATCACACAAAGTTATGCTGGAATTTATCATACAACTGAAAATATCCTTATTAAGTGAGAATTCCTCCCTTGTAGAAAGGTAGAAATTGCTGCACAAACACACAAAAAGTCACAGAACTTGGGGTTTCAAAGGTGTAAAACAATCAGTACTCAGGAGCAGTGTTAACTGTGGTGGAGAAAATAGTTGAACCGCAGGGATGGAGGAAAACAAGGGGGGATGCTTAACCGAAGCAGTCAGCTTTGTTGGCACGCTCTTTTAACAGACAGGAATGGGTCCAGCCTCACTGTTCTGGAGCTGAGCACACCCCAGATCAGGTCTGGAGCTGCAGAGCTGTTTTGTTTCTGCGGACTGCATGGACATGGGTAGTTACACCTGATAAGACCACACAACTCCCAGTCCAAAATGAGCTGGTTGCTCTGATTGCTTCCTCCAGCTCAGAGCATGGCAGAAAAAAATGGGTTAGTCTGCAGCAGTGTAGAGAGACACCGAGATCACCCCTACCACTGCCAATTTCCACACTGAGCCGGGCTCAAGACTGACCCATTCAGTACATCTTGTGTTTCTACTACAGGGGGTTTGGTTTGGAGCTTTTTTGCTTTTATTTATTTCGACTACACAACAGAAGCAAGTACACATGCATTCTGCAATTACATACATTTCCATCTAGCGGGGTGAAAGGAAGAACAGAAGACAATTGCCACTCACTGCACCCTGGCCCTTCACCTCGTCGCTGGGTAATCCTGTAGTCTGTGAGCCTATGGACATCAAACCCCACGTACGATCCACAGAAGGGCACATGTGGGCAAACACCAGTGCTAGGGAAAGCCTCAGGGTGTTGTCAGCAGCTTCCTGAAATTAGGTTTTATCCAGCTTGGCTTCAGACTACAATAAGAAGTAAAAACATCTAAATTTCCTATGTCTGTGTCTATTTCTCATTTTAGCAAAAATACTTTTCTGACACTAATTATAAACACGTAGGGGAAGACTCTTCAGCATTTACAATGAAGTAGATATTCTTTAAGTTGTTGAGCTTGTCTAATAAACCATCAGCAGTTTTATTCCTACTCCGGAAACACTTAAAAATCCAATCTGCAAAGCTTGCGAGAACTCCCCAAAAGTCGTGCGTCTGTAATCTTTGGCTCTGTTGTAACTTAGACAAGAAGAAAAACCCAGCTCCACCTTATCCTTCTGGCCACACGTGAATGTATCGCTTTACTGTCTCGAGGCGGCTGCCCGCATTTAACCATGCCATTTTAATTTTCCTCACTTTCAGGGAAACGGAGCTTATTATTTCAGTTCTGTATGTCTCTTATTAAACTAAACCAATAAATCCTGCCCAACGCCGTCCTGGCCTTAAGGACAAAGGGAGCTTTAACAGGCACAGTAGTTGGAAGGGAGACCTAAAAATAGAGCCCACTTTGCCAGTTCATTAAGTAGCTCCAGGATCAAGCGACGGTGACATCTCAATTGATTTCAAAGGGAACGGTGCTATCACGGACACGCGGTCCTGGCACCACACCAGAAGGAACAACTGCCCCCAGAGTCCTCGCTTGGGCAAAGCTCCAGCGTGACCAGGCCCTTAATTAGGCGAGATGAGGAGCAGGATTATGAGAGTCTGCATTGTTTAACCGCAAACAGCTTCGCAATCGTCACCGATCTACAAAAACAAGGCGGCACACAGGGGATGATACAATTTAATAAGCAAACTGCTTTACTGATGGCATTGCAGAGCTCCTAAGCTGCTGCCTTTCCCACCAGCGAGCCCATCCGACTCCCCGCAGCATGACCTGGCGGCGCTGAGGAGCGCTAGCAGCATGTAGACAAGTTCAATCCGATCGTTTGGGAGCGAAGCAGTGAGAATTAGACCGAGCCATCTGCGGCATGCCAAGCTCAGCCCTAGCTGCACGGGCAAGGCAAGCCCACCAGCAAGTCCACTGCCCTTCCTTAAAACAGCAATGTGAAAGAGGAATGTCCGTGCCCCTGCACACAGCAACCCTGCACAAGCTCCACGGGATAATTCCTCATCTTCTGATTGATGAGAAGCTCAACATGAGCCAGCAATGTGCGCTCGCAGCCCAGAATGCCAACTGTATCTTGGTCTGCATCAAAAGAAGTGTGGCCAGCAGGGCGAGGGAGGGGATTCTGCCTCACTACTCCACTGTGGTGAGAGTCCATCTGGAGTATTGCATCCAGTTCTGGAGCCCTCAGCACAAGAAGGACACCAGCCTGTTGGAGTGTGTCCAGAGGAGGGCCACAAAGATGATCAGAGGGATGGAACACCTCTGCTATGACAATGTGCGGAGAGAGTTGGGATGGTTCTCCTGGAGAAGAGAAGGCTCTGGGGAGACCTTATAACAGCCTTCCAGTACCTAAAGGGGTCCTACAGGAGAGCTGGGGAAGGACTTTTTGCAAGGGCATGTAGCGATAGGATGACGGGGAATTGTAATTTTTGGCTGTCGCAACTTAGACAAGAAAAAAACCCCAGTTCCACCTTATCCTTCTGGACACACATGAACGTATCACTTCACTGTCTCACAGGAAGCTGCACTGATGTAACCATGCCATTTTAATTTTCCTCACTTTCAGGGAAACGGAGCTTATTATTTCAGTTCTGTATGTCTCTTATTAAACTAAACCAATAAATCCTGCCCAACGCCGTCCTGGCCTTAAGGACAAAGGGAGCTTTAACAGGCACAGTAGTTGGAAGGGAGACCTAAAAATAGAGCCCACTTTGCCAGTTCATTAAGTAGCTCCAGGATCAAGCGACGGTGACATCT